GAGTCGCGACACTAGCCTTCTGTGCTCGTCTCTGATCCTCAAACCGAGACGGGCCAGGACCCCTGGGTTATTCGGGCTCAGATCTGGACCTTCGTGGAATGAAGGATTTGAAGGCTCAACGGACGTACCAAAAAGTTCGGAAGGCGAAACCGGAGCATCAAGAAGAAAGCCCCTCTCTTCCTTCCCGATATCTGCCAGGTTCACCCACAGATGCTTAGTAGCACGGAGAGCGAGATCTGTGGTGCGGCACAACTCAGCTACCTCATCAGGAGAAAGGCCATTGCCTTTATCCAGGTCTTTCAGCAGATCAGCCTGATATGCCTGGAGCACCGCCATAGTGTGCAACGAAGCCACAGCCTGACCTGCTGCTGCGTATGCCCTGCCATTTAAGCGCGATGTATTGCTAGTGCTCGCCATAATGATATGAATAGAGATCGCTCTTACCACGGAAATGCACGCTTCAAACAAAACAGTCAGTGAAGACGAAGAAGAGGATGATGTGCTCTCCCGGCGCTTATTTATACTATAGCCGCACCGGTAGTGACGTCATGGCTGTCACCGACCATGTGTTGTTGGTGTTTTTTCTATGTATGCTTCAGACACGGGTCACGATGAGGCGTTCCCCATAGCGACCCCTAGAGGACGCAGTTCGAAGTTCCCTTGAAAGGGAACGAAAGACTCTTTAGATAGGTCACGGTTTCCTTCTCTCCCCCTCCATGCAAAACACAGCTGTATGTCAAACCAAACTTTCCGTACAAGCCCGATGGGTGTGAATGGGGAGAGCGCAGGTGAATTTTTTATTTTTATCCAGGTCGGACTCAGTGATATGAGGGTGATGAACGCTGGTGTCTTTTCCATTTTTCCTGTAGCACTTTATAATTGATTTAAAGACGGCATTGCTAGATTTAAAGTCTTTATCATTTATGATGTTGTGTTTTGTGATATAACGGTTAATACCCACTCTGATACACTTCAGGCTTGCAACACTGTATTCGCGGCCGGTGTTCCGGTGAATTCAGTTCCCCTGTTTCCCCCTCACAGCGCATGTGCAGCTTCAGTACGAAAATCGTGACGTCATGATTTCGCCCCGGCGAAGCGAGTTTTAGTGGTTTTGCTGTCTTTTCGCCAGCACAAGGTTCATTTCACCAAGTTCATTCAATAGCTAATTTGTTATTAAATATATAATGTATATATGTACTTAATGTCCTGTTCAATCGCTATAGAGTCAGATTTCCCTGCTAATTCTAATTTTGGCCTATTTTATTAAGTGTAACGTTTAGGCTATGATTAGACAGTTAAATTCCTTCGTCAGGGGCATTCTTTTGTTCAGACGCCCATTTCCATTTTATTGTTATTGTTGTTGTTAGTGTGTGTGTGTGTCTGTTAAACAACTTAAGCCTTGTCGAAATAATAACAAATAAACTATATTGCACAATGACTAGTCTCTCTTTTATTATTTTAGGTAACTCAGAGTGATGCTCCTGATGTTTTTTTAAATGTCATAATTACGTCTAACCACTTTTATCTGCAGAACACTTTACACTGAAAACACAGGGGGAACAGATTTTTCCAGAGGCCTGAGAAAAGTGGTTCAGCA